TCCGTTATTAAATCCGTCTCGTAGAGTAGAACGGACAGGATGAAGAATTAATGCTTCATCTTCCGAAGTCATGTCGATACGGTCATACTGTTGTTTGCTCTGTGATAAAAGATAAATGCTTTTGTAGTCTAGGTACTTCCAACAGTAAACCTAGATAACTTTATATTGTTACAATTATGAATATCAAATTTGTTTTGATCGTATGGGTGACGTTGTTTACTACGACACAACTTTGAGATGGTCATAATATCACGTCCAATTATCTAAGCTACTATGGCTTTGGGGCATCACACGAACATTCATAACATATTTGTCATAGGACGTCTCCACCCGCCTATAACTTTTTTTTTTAATTTATTTGTCGTAAGACGTCTCCACCCGTCTACAACATTTTTTTATTTTTTATTATTATTATTTTCGGGAATTTTGTTTTTCTCAGCCCGTAAGCTGGTGTAAACTACATTCACGGATATAAATCAAGTGAATGCAGCATGTGGTGTGTATTATTTATGTAAATAGTATTTATGTGTAGTATTTATGTTGTTGTGTCATTCTCTTCTAATTATTATTATTATTATTATTATTATTATTATTATTATTTGTCGTTAGACGTCTCCACCCGTCTACAACAATTTTTATTTTTATTGTCATTTTTAATTTTATTTTTCATTATTATAATTCTTTTTTTTTTTGTTATGGTTCGGATCTGCACGCCAAATGCGTCTTTTATATTTAGTAATATTTCTCAAATTAAATGTTTGAATATCACACTTCTAGCTACAAAATATGTAATGAATTTGAAATGAAGTAAATTGAACAAAATGAAATACGCTCACCGGATAACTATTAGGTAGTCGAACAGTCCACCTTGCTGCTCGTTTACTTACACTCTCTCGTCACTCCAGCGGAACTTAAGCTGGCTGGTCACGAAGCACTTTTCTGTGATATTTTTTTATATGAAATCTCAATTCTGGAATTATTTAAATTTTAGTTCAAAATCTCTAAAATCCCACTTTATATCTTCTCTCCGCCTCGACCATCCTGTTTTAAATGTGTTGCTTCGATATCCACGGACGGATTGTCAAATTGTAATCTAAACTGTTAAAGCCGGATTGACTTATTCGTATGTTCATAACATCGGCAAGGATACTGAAATTGTCAGATGTACGCTGATGCCTGTAATCACATAAAACGAAGAAGATTTCGTTTCGTTGATAAATTTGATATCATTTTAATTCAATACGGGGATTTTTTTTATTTTTCACATATATTTCTTCGAACGGGATAATATGTTTATGAATGAGAAACTGTTAGGGCTCTGTATTTTCATATAAGTTTGATAATTTATGATATAAGTTAAGATACTCGATCTATACGTATTATAGAGACGAATCTTCTTAGCATTCAATAGATTCACCGTGCGGGTGCCGGGTCCATCGCGTTGCAGGGAGAGGAGCTTCAACAGTGCCTGGGACTTGCGACCCAAGTGTAGGTTTAAGGGGCCCCTTAACTAACGCGCGTTATACGCTCACCTCCACTGTCCAAGCTCCTCTCCCTACCTAACCAAATTTGAAAAGAACCTACTAGTGCTGCCTTCGATGTACGTTCCAAGAATGAGTTCCATATTATTTGGGACTATCAGTATTTCCCTAAATTTAGTTATGTTTCAAAATAAGCTTGTGTATTTCTTTTACTTAATTTCTTTTACTTACCAAGCACTAAAATTTAAACAAGTTATCATAAATTTAATATAAGTAAATAAACTTCATATTCTATGTAATTTATCACTTGAGAAATTTAAATATCAGTATATTTTAATAGAAAACTTAATATACAATAAGTAATAGAAGCAAAATTTTCAATCATGATATTTTTATGACAATTATTTGAACTGTTTTGTTTGAACAGAACTATTTCAATTTGTATTTCTTTAACACTCTTATCCAATCACTCAATCAACTTGATTGATTGGTTTCTACACGTTTTTATTGCGTAATGAATATTGGTTCAAGTAGGGGATAAAGTAAAAAAGATAAAGAAGGTTAATTTAGATTTTCTTCGGTTTAGCTTATATAGTTCAAGAATTATTATCTTGTAATATTTCCAGTAATTGTCTCGACTTAAAATAAATTTGTAGATATGCATTTAAGAACTTAAAAAAATGAGGTTCAATTGCATGTAGTTCATTAAGTAATAATAAAAAAAGTTCTTAGAATAACTTTAGGTCAAGTCAGAAATATAGAACAATATACATATGTACATATGTGAAAATCTTAGAAATAATTGAAAAGAAATTTATTTATAATAAAGTATTTATTTGTAGTAAAGCCATACATTTTTGTGAAAATTATAGTCAAGTTATTAATATATCTAGATATTTTTAGTAACTCTGCCATGACATTTCGTAAACGGGCGCTAGAATTATTGAGAGATGCAAATAAATAAATTATAAATGTTTAATAGCTATTTATATTGATTTTAGTTTGTATTGATTTGAATATTTTTAGTGATTTTTGTGCATGAATTTAATGAATTATTTAATTTTAATTTTATTAAGTACTTCTTTGTTTTTTGTGGTTTTTAATTTGTATAAATTTTTACTTATTATTATTATTGTTATTATTATTATTTAGATCTTTCTCGCTATAATTATATATTATATATTTCTCGCTATAATTATATATATTTTTAAAACATTGTAATCGTTGTGGCCACTTTAAAAAGCTACACATGTAACCTATTTCCATTTAATTGTTTTATATTCGGCATTTAAACATGTAGTAGCTGCTAGTGGTCCTTAAAATAAATAAATATATAAATAAAAGTAATGTTTTTAATGATGTTAATGGACGTAGAATTGATTAAAGAACATACAAAAATTCATTTCTTCTTGTTTATTTTGATTGGTGAACATAGTAGTACATATGTTTTACTGGTATGGTCATAATCGTGGTTTTTGAATTAAACTAAAATTGTTAATTAGTAAGCGTTCTCGCCATAAATATATTTCTCACTTGCTACAATATTTGAGCTCCAAGCTGAAATCTTGAGGTATTAAAATTCCTTTTTTTAATGTAAGTTTTATTTAATGAAGACATACATTTTTTATGATACCAAAATTATTGAATAAGTTTATAAATTACTTATTATGATAAATTTCAAAAGATGAAGACAAGTCAAAAGTAACATCACACAATTTTCAGCCTCTGTTGAACAAAACAACATTGTGTTTTGTAAGACACATCGATTACGTCGTCTGTAGTTATTAATTTTTAATCGTCACATCGAGTAGATCCATAAAAAAATACAATAATATTTTTTTCTGGACTTATATTAAAAAAAATATAGTAATTGATAATATTTACGTAAGCATGGGGGGAGGGGGTTTGCTTACTTTTGCTGACAAGGGGGATGGGGGGGTAAATAATTGTAATAAATCAGCTTACGTAATACTTGAACGGCCCCATATACATTTATAAAAACTAAGTAAATGTGGAATAAGAAAAATGTTCAGAAAAGACACATTAAAAATATTCACTAAAAGTAAATATTTCTAAAAACATTCAAAATTTACCAATACCTACTGAAATTGGTATAAGCTAAAAAGTTGGTAACTCTAGCAGAAATCTTTTCTGTTTAACACCACTTAGATATGATTTTATGTGTATTGCGATAGATTGTGTTGTTTTAAGTTTAAGTAGGTACATTTTCTCAAAATCTTTACAGTAATTTTGTACGTGAATGTAACCAGTCTTAATATAGAAACATAATCCCATACTTTACCAATGACTTTTTTTTACTTTTCTTAACATTTTTGTTTACTATTTCTTAAATAGTCACCCATTAAATAATATTTCTTATTTACGGCCGCCAATTACACATGTTAGTAAAATAAAGTTGCAAATGAATACATATTAAGAACACTTTATCATCACCAGTGGCGGCTGTACCTTAAGTGCACTCGTGCGCTGAACCACCAAATCAAAAGAATTAAAAGTTACAAAATATTACTTTATCTTTATTTTTAAATTACCATTTTAATATTTATTTTCTAAACATACAAAAACGTATAAAAAATTAAATTTCTAATTATAGTCAAAAAGTTTGAGCGCTTTACTAAACTAATATCTCGTGCGCTTCGGCGAGTGCACGAGGACTGCTAATACATCTTGTATGAGACACGAATTAATACGCCTGGCGCGTGAAACAAAAGATAGTTCATAGAAATGTACCGAGTAATGAGTCGGTTCTTGAGCGCCGCACGAGCGGCCGAAGATTACCGAGAGCACCCGATGTATGACGAATTGGAATTGAAAAGAATAAAACTTTTCTCCGATATACAATGTACTTGCTAAATGCACTTTCTATGCTTAGTATTGAAAAAATAATTATACAAACAATACCCGATTTTAATAAAAAAGTGATTGAATATTTCGCTTCAGAAAAATGTATAAAAAATAATCAAATTTTATGTCAATTGGTTTTTTGTTGCATTTTTTAATTTTAAAATTTTAGTAAAATGCACCACCAGTTCGATAACCCACCAGCCGCCACTGATCATCACCACAAATAAATAAAACTTTGTCACTTCAGAATATTCATAAAACAATGATCTGAAAAATCTTTGTGATCATTGTTCTTTTGTAAGCATAAACGTATACACTGAAAGTCTTTAGTTTTCATAAAGACCCTGTAAATTAATACTTTTCAATTTTTTGTTTTTATTGTACATACTTAAAGCGACTTAAATGATGATACTACAGTTTTCGTGAGTTTGCTGCTTCGAATTTGTTATCATTTTCCAATCCAAAGTGTTGTTCATTACAAAGTATAATATATGAGATAATATAAATGTATATAAAATTAAAAAAATGGGGTAATTCATATCTAAAGAGAGGTCAAACAATTTTTCGGTTGACTTGATAAGCATTAGCAAAGTACCTAATATCATATGAAGACTAATTTATTCTAGCATTGTCTAAAAATATTAGCTGATTTTATCATTCTCTCTACAACTAAGCAAAGTTCATATCAACAAATATATATTAATAATATTTTTAAAAGTTTTTTTTACCATATTAGATAAATTTTTAATAACAACTGGCTAAATATGTGAATTTTAAATTAAATTAATTTTAATTTAAAGAGCCTATGGCAAAAGTTTAATATTCTTGGGATGCTTTCTAAAATATAGCAATGACAAATATCTTGTACAGCAGAGTTACATATGTTCATATATGAATATTAAATAATCTATATATATTAACGAAAGTCGTGTTAGTTACTCTACTTTTAAACCCAAGAACGGTTGAACCGATTTAGCTAAAAATTGACAGGGAAGTGGTTTAGAACCAGGAAATTGCAATCGGATACTTTTTATCCGGTTCGACAGCCTTCCCGTGGGACTTGACATGAAATGTCAGTCACTATAAAACGTGGAATAACGAAACACAATTGGCAGCTATGCAATTGACGAGACGAAACCTCTTAGCATTCAATGGATTCACCGTGCGGGTGCCTGGTCCATTGTGTTGCAGGGAGAGGAGTTCAACAGTGCCTGGGACTTGCAACCAAGGTGTAGGTTTAAGGGGCCCCTTAACTAAAGCGCGTTATACGCTCACCTTCACTGTCCAAGCTCCTCTCTCTACCTAACCAAATTTGAAAACAACCTACTAGGGCGGCCTTCGACGTAAGTTCCAAGAATGAATCAATGTTAGTTCTGGACAGGCCCAAGTCTTTTAGTAGGTTATAGAGAGATTTAGCTGTTATACCTCTCGCTCCCACCTCTACCGCGTACAAATCAACGACGAACCTATTTCGAGTTGGTTCGTTAGTGAGCTCGTAATACTTATTGACCTTGATGGTATGGTCTTTGGGGATGTTGGTTTCCCAAGGCACCGTAAGCTCTATCATCACAACGCGCTTTAAAATACGCGAATATAGAAATATGTCTGGTCTGGAGGCCGACGCACAAATATCCTCGGGGATTTTGTATTGTTTCTCATACGTATCCATCATGATAGTCCAATCCGAAGCCGCTTTAAGGATAGAGTAAGGCTTGACGTTTGATTTTATAGCCCTAGTGCCCTCTCTCACAAAACCTATTGATCGCTCGTTTGTGGTTATTTCCCTTTGCGCTCTGGCTACCGAGAGACTAACCGCTTCACGTATGATCTCAAGAACTCTATCGTGACGATGCGAGTATTGACCGCTGTCCAGAAGAACCTTACATCCCACCAGCAAATGCTTAGCAGTTCCAACTGCCTTTCCACAGATATAGCAAGTTTTTTCGGTACCTTTACCCCATCTTACTAAATTACTCTGATCTGGGAGAGTCATCTGGAACGCATTAAGATAAAATTTTAGCAAGGCTGGCGACCAGTCATGAATTAGGGTGCGCCATTTTAGTGCTAGTGGAATGCAAAAATCTCCTATGTCTAACCACTCGTTCTGCATTTCTAAACTCATTGCATGGATCTTGTATTTATCGTTCTCGTCTTGCCGAATAAAAGACTTCAATATATCGATATTTTGGACTTTCTTTCTAGATCCCAACCCTACTCTGTTATTTTGCGCTCCGATCATAAATTGTTTATGGAATTGAAGTCGTGACTCTAGCTCTGGGGCATCTTTGTCTTTTGGAAGTGATGTAACGACGTCATCATGGGATTTCCCCAGGATATGTCTCTTGGAAACTCTTAGGTGTTTATAGAGCTCCGATGGTCTTTTTAGATTCATCCCAAAACTATTATGATCCCTGAATAAAGCCGATGAATCAGCCGTTGGCGCGAGCCCGAGCCACAACTTCAACATCTTTATGACGCCTGCATCTAATTTAGATAAAAGGGTTTTACTAAAATCATAGACGAGGAAAGACAATTTAAACGTGAAGTTAAGTAATTATCGTACATCCATGCTTTTTTTACGTTACTGATCTGTTGGCTATCTACCTTGCTGAGATCATTTAAAAAGCTATCTACTATTCCTTCTAAAGATGGAGTACGACCTATATTATCAATCTTACGACCGAAAAACTTGAATGGAGCATTTTCCGTAACGGTAGAAACGACAGATATGTAATGACGTATGGAAAACAATTTGATATTTGTAAGAAATCTACTATAAAAAAATAAGTCCGGTTTTCCATCCTGACGCTATAACTTCAGGACGAAAGAACCAAGAAAAGGGGGAAAATCTTTTGTCACATACAGTGCCATCATACATAACATGTACTACAAATCAATATTTTAAGTAGATGGTGCCGTCGCATGATACATTGTTTGACAGCTACTCATTGTTTTCTTCTCTGTTAATTTAATTTGACAAACCGCTATTGTGTTTGTAGTTTGAACTCTTAAAACCATTTAGTATTTGCGGGATAAATTTAGAAAATCATTGTTTTTCACATGGGCAGTTATATTTTGCATGTTCACGAGTTTGGAAACCATCCGCTTTGTGTTAAAGTTAGACCAAAAAACAAAAAAAAATGTGGCTTACAAAGGAGGAGCACTTCAATGAAACGGATAATTTGCGTACACGTATAACGCTTCGATTCGGTATCTACTTTGGATTCACTTTCATTTACTTAGAGAAGTTCAACTAAATAACACTTCATTTTTGTAATCGAAATGAATTCAATACTGTTGTGAAATGAAATAACAATTTTCCTTTTCAAATATGTATAAACGAAAAAAATCTTCATCTTTTAATCACCAAACGAAATGTTATATAAAAGCCTTCTCGTGGCGAAACGGAGTTCGCCGGGTTTACTAGTTGTAATATATAAAAGAGTTCCGACTCCAAATTTATAAATAACAAAAACTTTTTTCTATTTGTAGTGTTCTTTATTTGTTTTGGCTAAATATTAATAATATACAAATAAAATTCGAATACAATATGTACTTCAAAGATAATTTATTTCCACAACAAGCCGATAGATTTCGTCTATTTCGATCAATGTCACAAACATCTAATAGAATCAGATAATTATGATTACTCATATTTTTCTTTGTAAATAATGAAGAGGACATGCTAATATGGACGTAAACATAACTGTGACTGACTTGTAAGCCTTAATTTAAAAACTAAATTAATCTAATGTTCATATTACATTACTTGTCGGAGAGATCTTAATAATACATTAATTTGTAGCCTAAGGCAAGCCAACTGATATACATAGTTTATAATATGAATAATACTAAGTTATTGAACACGCTTTGAAATAATATTGCTTCAAATTGATATCATTGTAGAAGACAGTATCCAAATATATATGTACAATATACATAAATTTTCGTAAGCAGTAAATAGTTTAATTTAAACGAGTTTATAGATTCACTATAATATATTGGTTATATAAAATGACCCAAATTGTCACGAGCGTTACCCGGAATAAATAATTTTATTAAATAATTTTATTAAGTTAATAGTTATTTTAAATATTGCCATATAAAAACAACGTCTTAAATTTAAATATTGAAATATAATACTATTGTTATATTATATTTATAAACTTTATTTTTTTACTTTACATATGGTTCTAAATTCAATAAAAAATTTAAAAATTACATTTTCATATACATAAACCTACTAATATGGAGTAAAGAGACATTCGGGTGCTAGTGTACATATTTGCGTAATTGATTTACTGTAATTTCTATAACGCTTTAAAGTTCTAATCCCTACTAATATTATAAATGCGAAAGTAACTCTGTCTGTCTGTCTGTCTGTCTGCTACGCTTTCACGCCTAAACCACTGAACTGATTTTAATGAAATTCGGTACAGAGATAGAGTTGACCTTGAGAAAGAACATAGGATAGTTTTTATCCCAGACTTTTGAAAGGTTCTCTTGGAAACGCGATATAACCGAACTCCACGCGGCGAAGCTGCGGGCGGAAAGCTAGTATTTTATATATTTGATACATGTATTGTAAACCTCTAAGGTTATTAAAATTATTTTGTGCAGTTTCAAGATCGAAGTGATTATATAAAAAAGGGAATATCGTATTTCTTTTCAAGATTAATTTAATTTGTTAGGTATTTGTATATACAACCTTATTTTATTAAAGTGATATAAAACAGTAACGATAATACTTAAAAATAAATAAAAGACTAAAAATACATTCTTTACTTTGCCATTAATATGAATTAAATTAGAATGTTTCTGTGTATACATAGTTATGTATGTATACAACTGTATATATATTGTATAACTGTATATAATATATACAGTTGTATATATTATATATCGATTGTTTGTCTTATTGGTAAGATACTAACAATAGTCACTTTAACATTTTTTATTTTCAATACCGGCCTTTTTCTATTTTCAATACCTTTCATTAAACATTTATCTATCATAATTCATAAATTGATTATATATTGCTCTATAAATAATATGTAAGCAATGTAGGGCATACGTAAATATATATCATTATTATATACTTAACTCACTACTAATTGTTATTATTTCATTTCATATGGTTTATGGGTGTTTGGAAGTAGTCTTTATTTCAATTAATATTAAATTTTATGTTATTCAAGATAAATAAATTCCATGATTATATTGTAGATCTTTGTTTCAATAGGTTTTAAATATAAACATTGATAATTTTTACAGGGAAATTAATTAAATGTGAGTGTTTGTCTTCGGAATTTTATCCTTGAGTCTTCTAATTTTTGCCAGATTATAATTTTAAACTATCTTTAAACATACATTCGTAATACGAGTATAAAGGCTCAGATATCACATGAACTAAAAAGCATATGTTATCTTAAACTGGGAGAAGTTTGGAATAGAGTAATATTCTGAGTACAAAATTCATTCTGTGGTTTTAGACAAATACACAGAAACTTTTCAAACTATCTAAACCATACTTCAAATTTAATGCTAATATTTGGATAAACGTTTCTGTTTATTTTATCAAATAGCTACTTATCACTAATTACAATAAGATTTTTTTGCGTCAAAACTCAGCATTTGAACTAGAGATAAGTCTCTAATGCGTGTGTTGCAGGTGCTGGTGTCCATCCAGTCGCTCATCCTGGTGCCGGAGCCGTACTTCAAGGAGCCGGGCTACGAGCGGAGTCGCGGCACACGAGTAGGCAACAGCGCCAGCCTCGAGTACAACTCCAACATATACCAGGCGTGCGCACCAGGTAAGGATAACTACTGTTAATAGTAAAGATTACAAGCTAAAGCTTGTAGTCTTTACGTTTAGTTTCCATGGAATATTATTTTTATGTGTTTGAATTATTACTTATGAAAAATATTGTAGTAAACTAAATTTGCGGTCTTAGGAAGCTGATGGCCATATGTGAGGCATATGTAGAAAAACATGGATTGATATACAATGTCAAAAAGAGTGTGATGATGATCTTTGAGGCCGAAGGTAAAATAGAGAGAACAATACCACCCATTGTGCTCAATGGCACAAGTCTGGTAAGGGTATATAAATTCAAATACTTAGGACACATCTTGACACCCGACCTCAAGGATGACACTGACATCGAGAGGGAACGGAGGGCGTTGTCTGTACGGGCGAATATGTTGGCCCGCAGATTTGTACGTTGTTCGAGCGAAGTTAAGCTTACATTGTTTAGAGCCTATTGTACCACCTTCTACACGTGCAATCTGTGGGCCAAATACTCTCAAAAGTCGTATAACGCACTCCGGGTCCAATATAACAATGCGTTTAGAGTGCTGATGGGATTGCCCCGCCATTGTAGTGCATCAGGGATGTTCGCGGCAGCGAGGGTCGATTGCTTTTATGCCATTATACGCAAAAGATGCGGATCCTTGGTGTACCGATTGCGGGATAGTCCCAACAGCATCATGAAGGCAATTGCTAGCAGGTTAGACTGTAATTATGTTAGTCATTGCTGTGCTATCTCGAGCGGATTAGTTCAGCAATTACTACCATGATTACAAGTTTTAGTGATAGTTTTTTATTTTTATTTTATTTTTATTTTTGTTTAACTAATTTATTATACTAACATAGGAGATAAGAAATATGTATTACTAACAATAATATGAGTCATAGTCACTTGAAATAAAGTTATTATTATTATTATTATTATTAAATATTGTACTTATGAAAAATACGGAGACAATGAATAATAATAATTATAATGAAAAAGGTTTTCTGTCGTTACTTTTCATAACTGTTATTAAAAAACACTAGAGATTAAAAGTTAATGTCAGAATAACTTGTTATCTCTTAATGACAAATTTTTTAACAAATACTAGATAACACTATAAGTTGCAGCAAAGTAAGTATTAGCAATAAATTTTGCATTAAATATTGTTTCGGAATCCCAATTAATATTGGTAAATTTTTCTGTACACTTGAAGAATCTTTGTACGCTTAATTAAATTTATAACAATATTATTTTATAATTTTGATAGAGGAACTTCCTAGTCGTAAAGATCGTGAGAACAGACGGTTTTCAAACTATAAAGTTACTAGACTACTCGCTGAACCTTTTAATGCTCCATAAAAAGAAATGTTATCTTTGATCTTAGAACGATCCATAGTTTAGAAAACTAATCTACTTAGTCCTTTTTAGTGTATCCTTATACATAAAATATCCTGTAACAAATTCCCTTCTTATGTATTTTTGTATGTATATTGAAATTTATTTAAATGATGCATATAAAAACCATATGTTCGATGTAAATGAAAGAAAAATCCTAATAATCAATTATTATACTAAAAAAAAACTTATATAAACATATAATATAACATACTGTTCCTTGTTTATGTAATTTCTATTGAAGTTTTTTATGATGAAAAGAGTGTTACATACTGTA